CCCCGTGTGATAACGTCCATAGACAAGAGAAGAGCGGCAGACAGTTGATTTGCTGATAGAGGAAGCTTCGCAATCATAGTCCCACTACCAAGAAAGCCTGGTGACATGTGGTAGCATATTCAGCTACATTACTCTGGAAAACTGCAAATAGAGTTTTGCCAGCTGATCTTAAATCCTGGGTGGTTTGGTAGGAAATGAGGCACTCTTTTAAGTACCTGGATCCTGAGCTGTTTGAGATTTTATATTCCCAGGCTAACAACTTAAATCAGCCTTGCAATATATACTATGAAAGAGCCAAGTACAAACAAATGTTCCCTGGGAACTTTGTAAAGGGAACAAAAAGATACATCATGTGGAAGAGCTTTCATGAGAGAGAGCCCACAAACATGCCTCATATTTGACTGTAAGATATCTCCCTTAGAGAACCGTCATGTGCGTAATATGCAGACGTAAAGATATAAACGCCCCTTATGATTTACAAAAGATTATGGCTGGCAAACAGAGCCTCGGAGCCTTTGTGGAAAGACGGCTGGCATTGCCTGATAAGTAGGCACAAGTTGTCCTGTGCCAGCACTGTCCCTTTCTTGAACTCTTCCCTTTCCTCATGAGTTGGCACTTGTTGCTTTTGTTCCATATCTGACCTTGGACACTCTTCTTCTGCAAAGGTTACATTAGCCTCAGATCCTCATTGTAGGAAAATAATGAGAGTTTGGCACTGACATTGTTACTGGGGAAAAGGTGTGGGCAAAGAACAAAAGAGTACCAGGAACACAAAGCTGGGCATGTTGGTTGGCATTGCCTTTCATTTTCCCATTGAAGTTGTCACGACCCTTTTCCATTGATTTTATAGGGCATAGTGGGGACAAATTCAGATGGTTACCTGATGAACAAAAAGAAAGGGTTTACTATTTTTGAGAGCCAGGGAAAGCTCCTTTTTGGACTACAGCTCTCCGAATCTTCTGGCCAACATGACAACTGTCGCCTGGTGGATTATAGGAGTTACAATCCAAATATTACTTTTCTTAGCTCTTACCAGTTCTGCAATGGGTGGTAACTGGTTACTGCCTAGCCTTGTTAATAATCATCATTTTAATCAGGCGTTGACTAGTGGAAGAAAAAAAGTGATCCTTGAAAAATTGGAGATTGGTTGGAAAATGGGGTAGCAAAAAATGGGAATCTGTAAGAAGCATATCACACAACACATACAACTGCCAACCTGTTTTTGCAGCTCCTGAATCTTCCAGTTACATATTGCTTCGGGAGAAAAATTGCACGAGGGAGATAGGTATCAAAACAGGGAGAATTGTGTTTCTAGAAACCTCCAGCAACAATTACCCTCTTCTAAAGCAAAATGCAAGTTCTTGATTTATTGAGAGTGGGAAACAATAGTCCATAGTGGGTTCTGAAAACATCAAGACCTACGTTGCTGCCACACTGCAGGATTAATGCAGTTTAACACCATTTTAACTACCATGGCTCCATACTATGGAATCTTGGGATTTGTAGTTTGTTGTGGTACCAGAACTCTCTGAAAAGGCTAAATATTTCACAGAACTTACAGATCCCAGAATTCCATAGCATTGAGCCATGACACTTAAAGAGATGTCAAACTGCATTAATTCTGCAGTGCAGATGCAGCCCTAGTCAAGTTTCCCTCCCCTGTTGTAAAGCATCTGAAAGGCCAGAGATCTGGAGACCAACAGTTGCCATGATGTATGCTTCCTTTAATTCAGTCTGTTAATGCAAGAACCACATAGCCAAATTATTATTATCTATTATTTTTAAGTTTGTAGTATTCATAGCTATTGAGGAGCAAACTGGAATGGGTTGGATGCTTTTACTTAGTACACAGACTCTGCCTAAAGTTCCCTCAGACATCCAGAGAACTCTTTATTCTTGTTTTCTGCCATCCCTCCTGTTTCTTAGGAAGCAGTTTTTCTTTAACAGACATGGACAACCATCCTGTTTGTTCAAAAACAAACAAGCAAATTTCAAATGATGCCAAGCGAAATTTGCAAAGCAGCTAAATGAAGTGTATTCATGTCAATTTGGATAATTCCAAGGCCCAAAATTAGAAGGATGTGCAGTTTGAGATGATTTGAATCCCCCTGACAGTAATAGTAAGAAGATGCCCAAAGAAATGTTTGAAAAGTCTACTGTGTTGGGGTATTTTTGGGCCAGAGGAACTGCTGCACCCAGTTTGTGGTTATCAATACTTCTCATTAATCTTCTGGAGAACAGATGGGAAGCAGCTGTAGCTCAAAAACAGTCCAGGGTTCAAACCATCTCTTTGTGTATTATATTCTTCCACCAATCCTGATAGCTTTTTTTGACAAAAATTATATAGTGTCCCATTTTACAGTCAGCCCTGAAATGATCAATTTGAGAAAAAATTAAATTGATTATAAGATACTGGATAAGTTTGTTTCATCCAGGGGATACTAGTGAAGTTACTTTAAATTAGCAAATACTCATTCATTAGGAAGAATCAGAAAATTTACTATATTATTTTATGATATAAATAATTTATGTTATTTGTAATGTTATTCTATGTTATTTGTAATGTTATTCTATGTTTTGTTTTGTGTGTACGAATGTATATGTGTATGTATGTAAATGTTTTGAATTTATAATAAATTAAAAAAAACAAGTTTGGTTTGGAGACTTGAGCATGTTATAACCAAACTGACCTGATTCTTCAGCATATCATCCTTCTTTTACTAATTTGTCCTATCTGTAACTCTCTTTCTCTTTTCCAGGCTGGAATCCGTTTGCTTTGGAAAGGGTCAGTTTGTGTGTGTGCCTCTTAATGCATGTGAAAAACATTAAGCCTATTGGACAGTGTTTTACCTCCTGCTTCTGTCTGTGTGATTTTAAATGTGCAAGTTTATATATCTGAATGTGACCAAATTCAGCAAAACTGAAAACAGAGAAGACCTGATTAACACACTAGCAAGTACTCCTTTTTGTGTTAGCAATTTGTCATCACAATTGTTTGAATAAAAAAAAAGGTGTAGAAGCATCTATAATTGTGAATACCCAACAGTGTGAAGAAACAGTTTTTGTGTGTGCATTTATACACAGTAATGAATATGCAAGGTTTTTGGCCCATGAATGCATACATCTGAGAGAGTGGAAAGTGTCCATATTTGTTAATGCCAGAGGTCAGAAGTAGTGTGTTACAATTAACAACATTACTTGTAAAATGTTATTTATGGTGGTAAAGAGCGAGTAAGCTTACTCCCATTAATGTTAACACAGGCATTCGCCCATTAATGTTAACACTAATGTGTTATTTTGGTGTAATTGATAACATTTACTTGTTACTCCTCAAACTGTACTTTTTTTAAAAGGTCATTTGGGAAAACTGGCATTCTTGGCCACCTTCTTATTTTTAAAGGCTTTACAAAACAATAATTTTAAAAAGCAGTATAAAAACAAAGGCAAGGAATATTAATGTGTTCTAATTTAAAAAGAATAAACAACAGGGTTTTAGAATAACATTCCAAGCTCCAATTAATGGGCAAAAAGCCTTTGAATTTTCAGCCCTGTGCTTTCTGTTTGTCCAGAACTGCAGTGTGCTAGAACAGGCAGTTGTGTCCTCATTGTGTGTATTTGTGTATGCACATCCAAATCACAAGTCTGAAAGTGCGTGAATGTGCATTCTAGTTGTGTGCACTATATGTGTTTGTGTTGAATAACCGCACCATCAATGGAGAAGTCCAAAGCAGACCTAGAATCTGTAGCGACTCCTGAAGACGAATCCAGCCAGGATCTGCTCTCCGATGAATCTGCTGCTCGGCCTGCCTGGGGATCAAAGGCCCAATATATCCTCGCCCAGGTTGGCTTTTCTGTTGGACTTGGCAACGTCTGGCGGTTTCCCTACCTCTGCCATCAAAATGGGGGAGGTGAGTTGATGGGACATTGATGGTTAATTTAGGATTGGGGTAAAGATTGAGCCAGTGTGGGGTAATGGTCTGAGTGTGGATTAGGATTCCGAGAGACCAGGGTTCGAATCCCTGTTCAGTCATGGAGACCGGCTAGATGACCCTGGCATGTCACATTCTCTCAGCTTTGGAGACAGGCAATGAAAAACCCACTCTAAGCAAGTCTTGCTAAGAAAACCCTGTGATAGATTTGCCTTCTTAGGGTCACCATAGTTCAGAACTGATAGATAGCAAAAACAACAGTAAGATTGCACCCCTTTTACCCTCCAAGGAGGGCTCTTGTACTGGTAATTTCTTTTCTGTTTTCAAAATCGTTATGCCATCTTTCCACCACACTGGGCTTTCAAAGGGGTTATTTAGCACCAATGCTAAAACACCATAGCAAGCAAATTAAAACCAGCCTGGCTCCAATCAAAACCCTACACCTACTCTTTCTTGCAAGCAAATCTGTCATCACCTTTTAATTATCACAGATGAAAGATAAGGGCTGGTGGGGATGAGGTTTTAAGAGACTGGAATTTCTGAAAAAAATTGTTTATCTACAGCTTGTTATCTTTCTTCCTTCCTGGACATAGGTGCTTTTCTGCTTCTGTACCTGTTGCTCCTCTTTGTCATTGGGATCCCTCTTTTCTTCTTGGAGTTGGCAGCAGGACAGATTATCCGACAGGGTAGCATTGGGGTCTGGAAGTATATTAGTCCCCGTCTGGTGGGCATTGGCTTTGCAAGCTGTGTGGTGAGTATCCTGCAGTAGTACTTTCAGAAGTATCATGGAGTTTTGTTCATAGATTTGTGTTCTTTTTAAAAATGCAGATTGAGTGTCCCTTATCTGGAATGCTGAAATATTCCAAAATGCAAAACTTTTTTCATGGGTGCCTGAGATAGCAGCACCTTTGCCTTCTAATGGTTTAGTAGTGTATATAAACTTTGTTTTATGCACAAAATAATGAAAAATTATTGTATAAAATTATCTTCAGGCTATGCGTATAAAATATATATGAAACATAAATGAATGTTGTGTTTAGATTTGGGTCTCATCTCCAAGATACCTCGTTATATCATATATGCAAATCCAGGTATTCCAAAATAAAATAAAATTTAAAAAATTAAGAACGCTTCTGGCCCCAAGCATTTCAGATAAGGGATACTCAAGGTCAGCAGCTGGTGGCCTGTACATGTCAACCAGTCCATAGAGTAAGTTATACTTGGTTAGGTGGTTATAATAGGTAAAAGGACCCTGACATGGTTCCTGCCCTGAGCTCTTTTTGCTGTATGTCATCTTTCCCAATCTAGCACCCACTGAATGCTAAGGACAGAACCTGGCAAAGTTACTTTTTGGACTACAATTGCCAAGGAATAGTGGTCTAGAATATAACTTTGTCAAGATCTACAGGCTTTCCAGGCTTAGAGGGAGAGGGTTCATCTTCAGTATACCAGGACTGCAGAACCTTGGCATATTGTGATATCTAAACACGACCATAACATAATTAGCTACCCTTTTGCTAGAGGCAGCTGCATTGGTATTTAGCGAGACTATTGAGATACTGATTTCTTTCTCCTTCCCTTTAGGTTTGCTCCTTTGTTGCTCTATATTATAATGTCATTATTGCATGGAGTATTTTCTACTTGGCTAACTCTTTCCAGTTTCCTCTACCTTGGAACGACTGCCCTGAAACAGTCAACCAAACTGTCCCAGGTAATTGAAAATTGGCAGGCAGGCAGTCTCCTCTGTCTGTTTTACTCTAAGGGTATTTCTGCATCACAGACTTAAATTGCTTGTTCTTTTTATAGAAACAGAGTGTGTGGAGAGTTCTGCCACTGTCTACTTTTGGTACCGTAAGGCTCTGCATGTGACGAATTCCATTGAGGAGAGTGGAGGTCTTGATCCAGCACTTACCGGCTGTCTCTTTGCTGCTTGGGTTCTGGTGGGTCTGGCGATGATTAAAGGCATCAAATCTTCTGGCAAGGTCAGTCATTAATACATTTTTTCATCTTCAAACTTACCATCTTCGCCATAGCCATGGGATGAGGAGACTTCCAGACCCATTTCCTGTATTTTCACCATTTGATTTTAAAAGAACATCAAGTCTCTTGTCCTCTTACTTTTGCTTATAGACAGCATTAGAGTAACAACTGATAAGCATTAGGGTTATTATTATTATTATTATTAGCTTTATTTATTAAGTGCTGTAGATGTACACGGCGCTGTACAAAACCAAATAAAAATCCAGAATATATAAAAAGCCTGCCTGTGGCGTACAATCTAAAAGTAAAACAACAAATTAAAACATCATAAAAAACAAGTTAAAACATTCTATGGCTAGCATCATTTGCCATAATGAACAAAATGGGTCCAAGAGTATATTAAGCTGAACGTTCACTAGAACAGGGGTAGGCAACCTTTCCCCTTTAAGGGCCGAGGGACTTCAGCTCCCAGAATCCCAGGAGCTATTGGCCAACATGGGACTATTGGCCAACATGGCTGAGGCTTCTGGGAGCTGAAGTCCCTCGGCCTTTAAAGGGGAAAGGTTGCCTACCCCTGCACTAGAAGCTAAAATGACTAAACAGAAGCTATCTTACTTTGGACATATCATGAGACCACATGCCTTATTGGGGGAAAATGATAATGCTCAGTCAAGTGGAGGACAGTAGGGAAAGATGAAAACTGCATTACAAATGGATTGTTTTGATGAAGGAATCAACAGCCCTGAGTTTGCAGATCTGAACAGAACTATTGAGATCTCTTTACTTGTAGGGTTGCCATAAGTTGAGGCCAATTTGGTGACAAATAATAGCACCAGAGGATTATATGTTAAAAATTTCAAATATCTTGGTTATGGCTATTCTTTGTTGACTATATCGTAACATCTGTCTCCACCCAACATCTCTGGCTGTGGCCTTGCTTCCTATATCATCAACAGAAGTATGTGTCCATGAGTCATATGAACAGGTGGACAGATGTACCTTTTCTCTGTCTCTGTTATGCTGTTGATAGCAGGTGGCTTGACTGTGTCTGCCATTTCTCAGATATAATATCTCTGTCAGTGGCTGTCAGCTGCAGAAGCAGATGTTGGGATTTTGATTTGTGGGGTGTGTGACAGGATGGATAATGTCCAGAGATCTAGGAGTCATACCAAGAGGACCGCAGCCAGCATTTTTGTATCCTCCCAATTTGTGGTGCCCAAATGGCCAATTGTGTCCTCTTAGGGTCATGGTAGATTGTTTTGTCCCATTTTGGCTCCCTTCTTGGCCACTTTTAGACTCATGGGGGCTTTGTTAGTACAGAATTGACATGGAGAGGGTAATTTGTAGCAGGCCGAAGGTGTGGGAAGCATCAATTATTCTTCTGCAAGTCACAGTCTTTTCGTGATTACTAATCTTTCATTTCCCTTCCCATTCCAGGTGCTGTATTTTAGCTCTTTGTTCCCCTATGTGGTTCTGTTTTGCTTCCTGATACGGGCACTCCTGCTAGAAGGTGCTGCTGATGGGATCTGGATCATGTTTACGCCCAAGGTAAGAGACCACAGCTCCATGTAGGCTTAAGCAGAGCTTGAAAAAGTTACTTTTTTGGACAGCAAATTCTGAAATCAGCCAGCATGGTTGTTGGGGGTCCCTGGCTTCTGGAGTTGTAAGCCAAAAGAGGTAACTGTTCCAGACTCGGAACATAACATGCTTACTGCATGTTCTATCTTCCATTCCTGCATGTATACTCCATTTTCTTGCACTAACCATGGAATATTGTTATTTCCCTTATTTACTTAAACAGATCCACTAAGCTCCCTTGCACAAGTAATATTTAAGCAGTTAATAGTAAAATGAATGGGTGCTACACATAAAAGCAACAAGTTTTGTGTCTAAGGATGCAATTCTATGACAGTAGGCCCCACTGAAGTCTTGAATTTTAATAAACATGCCCAGGATGAAGCTGTATCATGTTTATTGTGACATAAGATTTCATAGACTTGAGAGCAGTTAGTCAGAAGTACAAAATGGTATTCTCAGTTGGTAGCTAAATATATGGGAGTGGAGAAAAATTTGTGAACAGTGGGCCCCAACGGCTATGAAATGCAAAAGTACAGTCCACAATATTTCTATATAAAGCTTAAAGGCATAGAAGATAAATACAGTGCCTATCAGGCACAGTAGCAGTTGGAGGTATGCAATATAACAAAGCTAGTTGGTGTTACAGGCTGTAACTCAGGGAAAAGGGATGTTTGATCCTCCAGATGCTGATGAATTATCATTATTATCATGCCTCACCATAGGCCAGGCTGGCTAAAGCTGATGGGAATTGAGATTTCAACAATATCTGGAAGGCCACAGGCTCCCTGACTTTCCAGTAGTGGGAGAGGAAACCATTACTCTACCTCAGGGGTCGGCAACCTACGGCCCGTGGGCCGGAAACGGCCCCATTCACCGGACTTACCGGCCCAGACCATGCGCAAACGCGTTGCA